AGCTGAATAACTTTCAAACAAAATAATACATTTGCATACATCAACAATTTTGCACTTTTATCTATGTATTATTATTGTTATTATCATCATCATCATCATCATCATCATCATCATTATTTGCTGTCATCATAAAAAAGAAAAGAAAAAAAAAAACGGAAACGAAATAGTATCATCAACAATAAAAATGTGTGAAAGGAAACGAAGAAATTGACAGACTGGTTCCTTTTTCCTCACTCCTATTTATCTTACCTTTATGAGTTGCTAATTTGTTAAAACGGAAAACTGAAAAAAAAAAAAGAAAAGAAAAAGAAAAAAGAAAAAAGGTTAAACTGTGCGCTAATTGACAAATAACATGAATTTTCCGAATAAAAAGGGGATGCTGAAGAAAATAATTCAATATTTGTAGTAATGTTTCGTCGGTTCCTTCGCATTTTCTATCATCATCAATGGTACTCTTTCGATTCTCAAACATTTCATTCTTCATTAAAACTAAAAACTCTTTTTGCACCAAACACAGTTATATGAAATCATGACAATCATTTTAACCGTCAAATATTATCCACAATAATTTAAATATTAATATTGCGGATTGCAACTTGCAATCATATCTATATAAAACTCCTATAAATAAAATTAAACAAGGTACAGAACTTCACAATTTTCAGTATGAAATAAATGTATGAAAACTTCTGCATAATCGAAATACAATGCATGTATGCGAATTAAAATTAAAGAATTCAGGTTTTAATGAAAAATGAATAAATGAAATAATGAACAATACTATGCCATTAATTATGTAAAAAATAAAGGTAATATCACAAGATAAAACTTCTTAAATAATAGTTTAATTTTATCTGTAAATAGTTATTTAACGCTAGTTGAATAAAAAGATGTTGTTCTTCACCTCGTAAATTACTATCTTGGTTTTTCTTTTTCTTTCTTTTTTTTACCAGAATAAAAGTTGATTAACAGCAAATTTCGTATTACAAAAATTGACATGAATTCTATCATTAATTTACTATCATATTTCTTCGCTCGTTTTATCTTTAGCAATTTCATTATGGTTCTTTTTAGTGCTATAATTCATTAGAGAATTTTCGAAAGAAAAAAAAAAATTACCTTTTCCTCGCTCATTAATAATTTCAACGGATGAGTAAGAAACAAAAAACACATACAAAAAAAAAAAAAAAAAAAGAGAAGATTAAAAAAACAATCATTGAACATCCAAAAGAATTTAAAAAGTTATAGGGAAGAGAGAGAGAGAGAGAGAGAGAGAAAAAAAGGTGTTAAATCAATCGTTTTAGTTTCTTGTATCTTCTTGATTCAATAAAATTTTCCTGTCCTTCAACTCTTCTCTTCCTTTAATTATCCTTACTAAAGAAGTGACAAATTGTGAAAATTTATTCATTTTTTCTTTCAAAACCTACTCCTATATATCACTCCTCCTATATATTGCTTCTGTTGAACCACCCGAAATGAATAATTTTTCATTTACATGAACAAGAAATTTGCACCTCCAAATTTGATTATTTTTCATTCAGCACAACAATTTTTGTCTTATTTGTATCTCGTATTATTTTTTTTTTTCTCTTTTCTTTTCAGCCATCAAATGATACTGGTCTATTAAAACGCCACTCAGCAATATCACCTGTCTTCAACACCTTCTTCAACACCCGATTCATCTCAAAAAAAAATTACTTCAATTCCCTTTGAACTCTTTCATTCCACACCCTACTTTAGCATTCAACTTTCTCCTATCATCTTGTTTCCTAACACCTTCTCTTTCGTTTATTCACCCTATTATTTACAACCTTTTCCTATTTTCACAACTTTTTTTTTTCGCCATCTTTTTCCTCTTTTGGTACATAAATAATCAAATAATCTTTTTAACTTATCGAAATTTGTCCTTCCGTTAAATCATAAAAGTCTACTACTGAAACACTAAAATACTATCGTGAAATGAAATGATGGTGCAAAATTATCTGGAACCATCGTTACTCTTCTTTTCCTTTTACTACAATAAATATGATTAAAAAAAAAATTTTTTTTTAAAAAGAAAAAAACCTTAGATAGAAAAAATTGTCAAAAAAAAAGTATAATGCAATTTTAAACTCAAAAATTGGTACCAATGGTATACATGCAGTCTTTCCTGTTGTGATATCATCGATAATAAAAGAGTTAAGCAAAATGACAGCTGTAAGTCTTTTATTACTATTGATACTGCAACTAATCATTGTGATATTATCTTTGCTACTATGGAAAGAAAAAAACTTCAAGGGTAATATTTAAATATATTTAAAACAATGCAAAATAAATTAGTGAAAAAGGATGATATATCAGTGAAAGTATAATCTATCAATGATAAATTAATAAACACTATGAATTATTAATAATACGAATATAGATTTAATGATTTATCAAGCTATATAATATTAAATACTTACTGATGATTTTTGAATGAAAAGATAGCTCTTTTTACATATTACTATAATCATAAAACTAAACAATTTTGCTGAAATAATCCAAAATATCTGTTTCTATGTTCACAAATAAATAATATTTGTCCAGCATATCATTAGCCGTTGTCTTCTGAACGTTACTTCAAGCTTCTTATCTAACGCCAGAAGCAATTAATTGTCAACTTATTGTAAACTTCTTGTCGGCATAACCTATGATCGTCTTTCTAATCAAAACATAAACAACTTAATTCAACTCAGTGATAAACTTTGCCTATTCTAACAATAATTCCTATAACTATAGCTTTATTTCATGAAGGGATCTGCAAAGATCAATGTTATATAGATAAATTTATGAAAAGTGTGTCCAGAAAATTAACATTCAATATTGTGAATAGTTATTTGACAAATGATTTTACTGATTTTAACAAAATTCAAAGTTCACAATTTTTTTTTTTTGAATTAGACTAATCTCGCATAAACAATCCAAATTTTAGTAAATATGTATCCTTTCACAGCAAATCATATTTGTCGGCATTGAGGGAATCAGTATTACTGAATTATAACCATCATTTTATCATCACTCTTATCACTTATTTTATTATCACAACCATTAACATTATCATTACTCCTCGCATTATGCTTACTATCCCTGTTGCTATCATGATTAATTATAATCAATATTATCATCATTATAAGAAGATCTATGCTCTCCCTTTTCGTCATTTTTTTTTCAAACAAAATTTGTGGTAAATTTGAGAAAACAGAAAAGCGCAAGCATCAAAGTGTAAAGTCTAACAAAAAGCGCTTTTGTCAAAAGTTGTTGTGAGCAACAACTTTTGGAATTTGCCAGAGACAAGAGAGAGAACACCGAAACAATCCATTATTTAAAAATCGGTCTTTTCTTTATTCCTTTCTCAAGTATTTCTGTCAATTTATTTTGCAAATCTGAAGTTACTGAAAGAACTAGTTTTACCATAGAAAATGTATTAAAGGTAAACTGTCAGGTTGCAGATGAAATTTGAGTAAATGCTATCAGCTCGAGCTCAAGTGCTTCTCTCCTTTTCTCCTCTCACATCTCCATTATAACACCATTATCTTACTGAAGTAGATATGCTTCCTGACAATAATCTAGTAAATCTTCAATACAAACAAAACAAAACATATGAACGAATGGACCTCTCTCTCTCTCTTTCCTCCTTCAGTTCTTCCATTCTTAAAGATAGCTTTACTCAGTGTTAAAATATTAAATTTTTAAGCAAACGTCTAAATTCTTAATTTAAATCAAACAAAATCTTCCTATGAAAAATTGTCTGATATCCTAGCGACTACTTATCCTACAGTACACTTCTTTTCTCTCCCTGATATTTTAATGAAAGACAATTCGTCATTATGAAAATGATTTGGGAAGAAAAAAAAAAAATATTGTCAAATAAGAACTAATGTTAAAAATAATAATAATAATAATAATAATAATAATAATAATAATAATAATAATAATAATAATAATAATAATAATAATAATAATAATAATAATAATAATGTTAACCAATGTTAAGTAACACTTTATTCAATTTGTGAACTGATGTTATATGGTAATATGAAAAGTTAGTCGTAAATTCATAAGTGATACCTAAGAACTAAGAAAGTATCGAAGTAAAAAATTGTTCCACAAAGAGAGATACAAAATCCAATCCTTAATCAATTAAATAAAGTGTGTAATCAAAATCTAGGTCTAATATATATGATCAAAAAACAGAAAAAAAAAAAGAAAGGAAAAACAACTGCCTTAAAAGATAAAAAGATGAGTTAATATCTGCTTTTTGGAAGTTTATTTACAAAATATGCGATAATTTTTCTTTACAGGTTTTTCTAAAAATGAATCATTCCATTTGGAAAAAATACAAAAGAACAAGAAGTGAATCTCAATAAAAAATATAGATGATGATCAATGATATTCACAAATATGGCTGATCTTCCCTCCTTTATTATAATGCTACAACATTTCGACATCTTTCTAACATAAAGTTGCTTTGGTCAAATGCTTTAAAATGAATATAAATTGATGTTAAATAATACCCAATTTCCAACAAGAAAAATAACACCAAAACTATTGAAATAAATGACAATATGATTTCTAAATGTTCGAAAACAACACTTCGATGAGTTAACTATATTATTATTGAGAGCAAAAGTACACTTAATACACGCATCCCTATTTGTAATAGCAAACGTAATAATAGTAAAGAACAAATTATTAACTTCAGTTTAAACATGAATTAAATTTTATATGTTACATGCTAATATTGTTAGCATTACTGGTTCCAGTTTAATAAATAAAACCATTTCATGGCTTAATATTACCTGTATGCTAATTTTTAGTTTAAATATTAATATTACCAATATACGCTATTTTACGGATAATAAAACAAAACCATTCCAAATTAAGATGTAAAGAATTATATCGAAAAAACTGGTGCATTATTGCACTAGTTTTTTTTCTACTATATTATTATAAACTATCTATAATTTATTGTAATTGTTTTATAGAAATATACTCACCTGATAGAGTGCTTCGACAACTTTAGTTGTGATTGAAAAATCTTGACACCGGTGACCTTCATAGTATTGCAATTGAAGTGGTAACTTTTCAATCTCATCATCCTTCAAATTATCATTTATGTCAGCTAACGGTTTCAACAGTGTGCTCAAAAATTCATCATTTTTATCCAGAAGTATCGAATGGCAACCTGAAAAATATATAATTTACTCCTTATTCAAAATTTAAAAGAAGTAGTGAAAAAAGAAAACAACCAAAGCTAATCGTTTCCAGACTGAAAAAAGATTCTTTTTTTCCTTGATTTATAGAAGAATGAAATTTTACGCTAGATAAATAAATAAACAAAAAAAAAGCAAAGTTTTTACTCCGTGATAAATTTAAGGCTAATTTGGAACATTTATCCTAATATAACTTTGTCAAATATGGTAATGCCAAGTCTATACAGTTTCGTGCATTCTTTAATAAGCGTTATCAATGATAACATAAATGGAAAATGATCAGTGATATAGAACCTAGAAATCTGATAATAAAGAAATTAATGTTAAAGCTGCATATCAAGAGGGATGATGATAGATAAATGACTGTTGCATTATAATTATAATTTTGAAATATTCGAAATAAATAAGCTAAATTGAGAATGACATATTTGTAAGCAATTAATGTTCTGCTATATTGTGGTCTATTATTTTTATCATTATTAATATCGCTACCGTTACTGCTATCATTCGTACCATAATATCATTGGTTTCATGAAATTGAATTTCTGAAAGTATTATAATCATGAAGATGAATAATAAAGGAAAAAATCAAGTCTACGTTATGTCATCAAGCAATATTCAAAAATTGTCACCATTAAAATATATATATGCTATTATTCAATTTAATAAATTAGTAAGTAAGTAAGTAAATAAATTATGTAAGCCTTCAATTATTAAGATGGCTTATTTCAATAATTGAAGAATCGCCAATAATACATTTATTCCAAGTGTCGAACTGGATATAATTATATGTGACGGAATTGAAAATATGATGATTAGAGCATCAACACTACTCAATAAACTTAAATTATTCTGTCCATAAATTAAGATAAATTAAGTTCTTAACTTTGTGAGTTTGAAAAATAAACAAAAAATCAACTTAAGTACCGTACTACAAATAAGGATTTGATTTTTAAATTTCAATAATTATACCCACTTTCATATATAGAGATATATTACTGACAGTTCTTGTATCATCAAATACCTTGCAAGAATATTTTAATAAGTGTTATAGTATCAATAAATTTGCTAAATTATCTAATAGACCAAAAATCAAATATTATTTTAACACAATTACAAAGAGCAAATTTCCATTTAGTCAATAATGATATAAACAAAAGACTTTAATCCCCTCTTCTGTGCTTTAATTCTATTGGCCCATCATTTTTAAAAATTCGACCCTGCAAGTTTACTAAAGAATAACTATTACTAACTACAATAAATAGTAATAGCAACAATAATGTAATCAAGAATATTTAATAAAAATAATAATAATAACGTTCATTAAAACGTAAATTTAATAGTCTGAGCCCATATGCTTGCATTATTTTGCAATAAAGACAAAATTAACAGACTAAATATGGCAAATAATAATTAACTAGCAAACAAATCACTATCTTTCAATTAATCTTGATACCGTTATTGATGTGACTAATTTCTTACATTTAATATCATATTATACATAGATTTATTATTTCTTATATGTAAATAAATATATAATAAATAATTTGAGCCCATATGTTTACATTATTTTTGCAAAAATAGACAAAAAGAGGCTAGTTCCATTAGCTTGTCAATTTTTCATAATGCTACTTTTACTTTTGATAGCAGTACCGTATTTCAAGCAAATACCTCTTTGTTTTCTCCATCTTAACACTTTCCCTATTAAATATAACCACCAATTTATCAGTTGTGCCAAATGATTTGAAAGGTGAAAATAAAAAAAAAAGGAAGAAAAAAAGAAAACAGGTCCTTTCTAGAAAAGTAACAATCCATTTCTCAATTCTTATGCAAGTAACAAAACAAAAAAAAGAAAAGAAGAAAAGCAACTTTTCACTTCGGCCATATATCAATTGTATTTGAGTAACCAAGCATGATACCATTAAGCTTTTTACTCACCAAATCAAAAGAATAAATATTTAGACGTTCAGAAAGAAGAGTAATCAACGATTTATGTTCAAACTACGATAACTTTATTTTGTGAACAGAAGCAAAAGATTGTCAAATAAAATATACTGCATGATTTTAATGATATTAATCAAGCTACCTAAATAAGCACCACAATTGTAATATTACCATCTTATAACACTAATTAAGTTAACAATAAATTTCTTCACTATTTTTTTGTACCAACTATTGATCATGATACGATAATGAATAGTTTCAATGATATAATCTAATAATTCAATAGTTGTTTATGGTTAAAAGTTAACCAAAAATGCATTATTATATTTTAATTGATTTTTTGAATGATCAGTAGAATTAAATCACTAATTATATCAATGATATTTAGTAGTGACAGTAAAAGAAAAATGTGACTGATAAACATTATATTCGAAGGATATATAACAAAATTATTTGTGCTACAGTACATATTTACGTAACCAACAAAACACTTAGAAACGAAAGAAGTAGCAAATTATATTGTAGTAATCAAATTACATTTGTGTGTTAATGCTAATGAAGCAATTAGTTGTTGTCGTAATTCTAAGTGGAATGAGGACAGTACTTGATGAGAAAGCGAATGAATAAGCAGTAAATAATGGTATTTGACAAGTTAGCCAAAAATGCTCACTTAATAACAAAAAATTTGAATGATTTCTTAAATAAATGACTGCTGGATATAAAAATCCCTTGACTGCATCTCAGATTACATCAAATATAAAATCAATCACGAACTTCTTTTTATTTACTTAAAGTAAAATAACTAATTACTATGCGAAATGGTGACCCAGTAAGATTTTTAGCATATTATTGTAAAGCAATACATATGGAAATTAAGCAGTTATAGATAATCCAAAAAGACAATTCTTCATATCTAAGGTTCTAAAGCAATAGCAGTGATTCATATTAGCATCTCAGAGTCTGTTTTGGTTGATCAGTAGGAATATAAAAATCCTAAATAAATAAATAACTGATTACTATGCCAGTTAACACTCTCACAAAATGTTTCTGTTTGAATTAAACCTAGTCATTAAACGCGAAATGCTGTCAATTCTGCATAAGATTATTTTAAGAAATGACTCACTGAAAGATTGAAATATAAGGACATAGTAATATTACTGATATCTACAAAGAGATGGCTTATACAAATTGGGTATATACAGATAAACTGATAAAAAATGAATGTGAAATTTGTTTTATATCTTTTTCTATTTAAAAAAAAAAAAAAAAAAAAAAAAGAAAAAAGATTTAACGGTATTCCATCACTTCTAAGGTTGTTAATTCATTGTATTTAAATTTAAAAAACTAATTTCATCCATGTTTCATTACTGAAATGGGAATGTAGAACATTCACACTTTACGCAGAAAAGTTCAAAATCCATTTCTGATAGAAAATTTAATCGATCTGTTACAATGAAATTCGATGGTTATTTGAAAATTTTTGAAAGGAAATAATATTAGTATGTTTGCCTTTTTATTACCATCGTCGAAATTTTCTAGAAGCATCTTTGAGGCTTCATTCCTAAATTTCACTTTCGAAAAAATTTTTGTCTAGTGAATTCTAAGACCTTCTGTGTAAGGATTTCATCACCAAAATCTTCCATGTAACAGTTGCACTGAAGTTTTTAATTCAATATTAGCCATCTAACTCAAATAGTGATGTAACGAAAAATTATTAAAATTTAAATTAAATTTATTCCTTGATTATTTATTTAGATTTGAATCATATTCATTCTTTTTCACATTCACTCATTAACCTACCTGCTTAAATTATATAGGTTATCAGTCGTTACTACACGTGTAAATCATTTCTGTCCGTCAATTCTTACCTATTGAAGTGATAAAAGAGAATTTGCAAACTACTTGAAATTGGTAATAGCAAGTAAAATACTAAATTCAAAAATAGATTCTCTTCTATAATATCCGTTTCTACTTCACAAACTATCAACAACAATATTTACTTCACATGCAGTGCTAATTTATTTGCTATCTGCTAATGTTCCAAATATATATGATAACTATTAAATCATTACAGAAATTTGAGCATGTTCATGACAAGGAGTGCATGATAGGATCATCATAAACACTTCATTAAATAAAGATCAAGTGTACTGATCAGATTGAATCAGGTTTCATTCAAATATTCTGCAAGATAATCCGTTTGCAAATAAAAGTAAAATCAACTTCCATCTCCCTTCAGAACACTACTGTGATATTTATATTTAGCGCATTCCAAGCCATTTATAATCCCTCATTAAGCTCCTTCACTCATTTACTCCTTTTTTTGTATGTCAGTATTTACCAGTACAAATGATAAGAAACTATATACCGTCTCACACTTTTTCTTCATCTTTCATCAACTCTCTCTCTCTCTCTCCCTCGTTCACTTTTATCCTTTACTTTTACTTTTTTTTTGTTAAATAAAGCTAAAAATAATATTTCTCCCTCCTTTACTATAATAATCTTTGTACGATATATTACGACTTAACGTTTTCATCTGAATGATATCTTATCAGCTATTAGGTCGGAATGAATTCAAACAGAAAAAAAAAAGCGTCACATCTATGCCACTTTTATTTTGCCATTAATTTAAAAAATGCCATTAAACTACACCGAATAAAATATATAACTGTACAACTGTTTCTACTACATATTATAAAAAATCAAATATTAACAATCTATGAGTATATATTGTGCAATAAAATGTTACCAACCTTTTCAAAGAGGGAAATGATAACATAAACTGTTAAAGGTAGCAATAATGTTAATAAAAAAGAGATTAAGCTTTATCACTTGCTAACGGCAGAATAGATATTAACTTTTTGTTGATATCACTGCTTTAATAATACATATATGTAGAGCTTTTTTGTCTTCTATCGAAAATAGTTTTAAACTTTAAGCAGTGAAATATTAACTTAGACGTTTATTTTAATATTAAGGAATTTGAATTCGAAAAATTTCTCTCATTTCATTTCCTCTCTATTCGATATAATTATACCAAATCGAGAGAAATTCAAATTTTAGTAATGTTTATGCAGTCCAGAAAAAATTTTTCTCATTTAATGAGAAAGCAAATAATGCAAAAAATTCTTCACTTTGACAGTGAACAAACAAAAAGTGTTGAAGTGTGATGATAGATGTTATCAGCGAAATATGAATATTCCAAATAATATAATCGGCTTAGATGCTCCCTTGGCGGTAGCCTGTTTGATGTTTTCTATGCTTGCCGTGTAAGCAAAACGCTTCAATGTACCGCTCCTTACTGATAACCTAGTACGACAACCTTATCAGCCTTTACAGACACCGCTATTTAACTCACGCATATTTCTTCATTAGAAAGAAAGCGGGGGAAAATCTCATCAAACTTTTTTAAAAGACTAGAAATGAAAAGTAAAGACATAGACATATTCTGCAACAAACACTAATTCTGCTCTACCCGAGAAACTATTATTTTCCACCAAAATTTGAATTTACATATAGAACGGTAACATTCTACTTATAGAACTGAGAAGTTTCATTTTCATTTTCAGCAGAAACATGGTGAATATGCAGCAAAAAAAAAAAAAGAATCTACAAATCGATGAAAGTATCACAAATCTTATATCCCACAATATAACCCTTTTTCCAGTGAATCTATGTATTCAAAAGCAACACTAAAAAAAAAAAAAAAAAATCTGCAACTTACTGATTTCAAAACACATATTCCGTAAAATATCAGTCGCAATTAAACACCTTCTTGGTCTCCTATTCCAATCCACCAGTGGTAATATTTGTCGAACATACTTCTCACATAATAAACAGCGGACATTTGCAATTGAAGTAAAGTTTACAAGCACGTAACCGAGATAATCAGCAGCCTCGCAGGACGTTGAATCATTTAATCTTCCTGAAATCATTTAGTGAATAATTAAAAAACAACCATAGGATAATCAAAAAAAAGACTGACAAAGAATTTAACTTTTCACAAATTATAAATCTTTATAAATTCCTCGTTAATACAGTTTACGTATTTTTTCATTTGCATTAATCATATTTGCGAATTAGCCTCAGTTAGAATCATTCGTTGCAGTTTTTATTGAAAAAGAAGTCGAAAGTAACTTACTTATTGTATCAGAAATAAAATCATCCCAATCTTTTATCAAAGCATCGTACAACTGAAATGTCAAGAAATTATACTACAGAAACCAATTCAAAAACGATATAAGTGACTGAAATTTTTTCAACTTATCAAACAACTACTTTTACCAATGCAACAATCAAATTAAACTGTTCAACTGTATCCTCTGAATGGAAGGACCGCTAAAGTATTCGACAGCATTTCGAAATCATTTGCTGCCAAAGAAAAGAGAGAAAAAGGGACAAGTGCACTTATATATTCCAAAAAGTTTGTTTTTCATTTAAAACTTTATCCCTTCATTTTTTTTTCAGATGAGAATGACAACATTTATTTCCGAAAATAATGAAATCGATTCGGACAAAATACGACTTTACAAACTTAAGTCATTTTATTCAAAAATAAAATTTGTCTTTCACATAACTAATTCCTGAAACAAACGCGATATGCTAAATGTTAATTTCTCAGTTGGTAAAATGTCACATTTATATCCGAATCACTTCATCTTTAGAAAACAAAGAACTAAGAATAAACCTTGCTTAAAACTATATGTATATATGTCAATCTAATATATATCAGTCTAATATATTATGCAATATGTCAATATAAGTAAGACCACGACGTATAACGCGTTATTAACTATAACGTTATTAAGTATAACAAAAGAAAAAGAAAAAACAAACGTTGTCTGGAAAATGTAACGATAAATTGGTTAACAATTTTGCTGCATTCAATGAATATTGATCATTGCAATCCCGACAATATTCAGTACATCGCTGGACAAGTTCGGTGTTATCAGTTACATATTTAGCACAAACTATCTCGGTAGCAGTTGCATTAATTATTGCAGGAAGTACATCAGTGTCATCTATGTGGCCTTCGCAGATTAATCGACACAGTGACCGTCCTAACAAGAAATCATTTGCCTATAAAAAAAAAAAAAAAAATCACGATAAAATTATGCCAACTTTAAGTCTTTGCGTAGAAACATTCTTTTATTTTCTGAACGGGCAGTCAGTATTTGGATAAGATACATGAACTTTGTTAGATATGGTCTCACTAATGATTACAAAATCAAGTCCTAATAATAACGGCTATTCCGCCAACAACCGCAATTATCTCACTGAATATAACACTCACTGTATTGATATATATACCACTATTCTATTTAAATCTGCAATCATGCTATGAATTCATTAATAAATATAATCAAATCCGATTAACTTATTTGTCAGAAAAACTAAACTGATATTTTACGAGAATTTTTAGGAAAACAGAAAACTGACAACAGTTAAATAATGTAATAAATAATGCAATCAACTAGTAAATTCTGAAATAATAATAGTGGAATCAATCGGCAAACTTCATGCACCTGGAAAATCCAGGTACATAAAATCTACTTAATATTGCATCTTATCGAAATCGTAATCAGGTACATCCAGTATCAAAAGAAGATTCATAATTTTGCTACCATTTATTTCAGTTCAGCCTTATCATCAGAGCAGAACTACGTCTGTCTGTTGTAAATCACTAACAAGGGAAATCCTTCCCTACAAAAAAGAAAACATTAAAATTAAACCTGAAATATCACATCAAAGTGATCAGATGCCGAAAGACCAATAACGCAGTCCAATGCTTGCTGTCGCAAATTACGATCTACATTCGGCGAAAGAAATTGTATCAGTTCATTGATAACTTCTGGTGATACTTCATGTCCCTTCATTACCTATAAATTAGCACAACATGTGTACATAAACTATATTTTCTCGTAATTCTATTAGTAACTAATTATTCATTTTTTGCAATTCGACGTCAACATCATTTGATAGAAACATTGTATTACCGAAATAATGCAAGAAAAAAAGAATATATAAATATAAAGATTGAATAGGCATTGTGAAATCTATTTCGGCAGTGTTATAGTTACACCGTTAGGTGTATAAATGCTGGAATTTTTAAGTGAAATAGGAATTTTTAAAGATTGCTTTTATTCCCATTTTTTACTGGCCACTTGAAATTCTGAAATATTTGAAAAATATCATACGTTCATTTTGACTTACAACATGAACATAAGCACCTAATTTCCATGTTCCTGATTTACCAACGCAGAAAAACGTGAAACTTGAATGCTTGAAAGTTTAGAATTTACTTTATCATTTCCATCCTTACTTCCTCACAATCTTAAATTAACTAAATCGACAACCGCGTGACATACCTGCAATTGTCTCGTAAAATCTCAAAGAGAATTCCGGTATTGTCGCTTTATGAAACAATAAAATATCACCATTGTTGTCTTCAAAAAAAAAAAAAAACAAATAAGTGCAGAATCTATGCTCAAATTTCCGGTAAAATAAATTTTGCTTCGGTAACATCAACAAATTTTCGAAAAAGTGAAAGTTTTAGGAATAATTGGGAAGATTTCTTTTTCTTTTTAACTTTTGTAAAAATTAATTAATTCAATAAACAAATTCTAAACTTCTCATATCGAAAAAAAAGAAACTTATGTTTTGCACTGTCAAAATAAAATAATTTTTTTTCAATAGTTTTTAAGAATAAAGAAAAAAGAAAAACTGTGTAAAAACAAATATGTTTTTTTATTTTATTTAGTTAAACATAACAATAAACAAATATCAGTTTTTTTTTTTTTTATTAAACATAACAATAAACAAATATTAGTAAATCAATTTTAAAGACATATATTAAGACATATATTTAATTATTATATCAAAAAAAAAACATTGTGTTATTTATTAAATGTGAATAAGAAGAGAATATGATAATAATAGTAATGAGCAAATAAATTTTTTGCTTTATTTACCGGATTGATCAGTCCGGTTAATAGATAAACAATGATCAAAGTGGTAGATTTTTTTTTTTTTGTTGCGTAAATTTAGCATAAAGAAGAAGAAATCAAATAGATTTAAATCAAACAAAAAACCGAAAATGAACATAAAAAAAAGGAAAAAAGGAAAAAGACTGAATTGTTAATAATATGATATTAACGTTAATGTTGTAATGAATCGGTAAAAAGCGCAAAAGTTTTTAGCTTATTTGGAACAGATTTTCATATTTTCCTAACGGATCATTTCCGGATTATCCTCTCTCTCTCTCTCTCTCTCTCTCTCCTTAATTTCATCCTTTCCTTTTTCTATTCCTAATTGTTGGAGTATTTTTGTCAGGTAAAGAAAAAAACACGATAATATTATGTTGATTAAGTCAAAGCTTCTAATATTTGCTTAGATTAAAGTTAAACATAAAACTACCATAAAGTATTTATTTACATATTACTTAGCAGTAGCTATAAAGTTGCAGCTGAGAGAGAGAGAGAGGGAGAGAGAGGGAAAGAAAGGAGAGAGAGAGAGAGAGAGAGAGAGGTTAACCAAATCTCAATTAATTGATCATAATTAAGAAAAAAGAAAAACATATAACTTTATTATCTTATCTTTTAAGCTTAACTTATTTCATTTTGATAAGCATTGAAGAAAAAAATGAAAGTGAAAAAAAAAGTGATAAATTTGTTGATGACATTAATATTTTGAAATTATTTTAAAAATTTTTGAAATTATTTGTTAGAAATTTGAAAAAAAAAACATATTTCCTTTGAATTAATATCATTTAAAAAAGAAAATGAAAATTGTTTTTTTTTTTTTTTTTTGCTATTTTTTTGTTATTTTTTTTTCTTTAAATTCCTATCAAAAATTTCAATTTTTCTTTTTCAAAAAAATTTTTCTTATTTATAAATTTTTTTTTTTAGAAAATTATTATTAAATTTAATCAAATTATTTGTGAAATATGAATGACTTTTAAAGAATTGCATAAAAGTAATTAATAAGTCAAAAATGAAAATAAAAATTTTTAGTTTTCTAACATTAGAATGACTGAAAAAAAAAGCTTTTCAAATTGAATAAAAAAATTTTATAGATAGAATTACAAATAATCTTATTAGAGAGAGAATGAGATAATTAATATAATTAACAAACATTTAATAGGAAAATAATTTTTTTTTTAAATAAAACATTAAAATGAAAAATATTTCTAGTCGAAAAATAAGTTTTGTTAAATTTTTTGTAAAAATTTTAATTAATACTTGTTGCATAGTATTTATAATTGCTATAATAATGATAAAAAAAAAATGGTATATTTTTTTTAAAAAAAATTACTTAACCCATAATTTAAATTAAATATGAGAAAAAGAATATTTGAAAATAATTTTTTTTAAATGACAAAAAAAAACATTTTAAAAAATAAAAATAATTTATCCATCATAACAGAAAAAAATTGCGGAATTTATTAGACTAAAGAAAAATTAGAAAAAGAAATGCAAAAATGAAAAGTTTAAAGAAAAAACAAATTTATTATTTTAAAATAAATTTATTAAATTATAAATTCAGATGAATAAAATTTTATCTAAATGCTTGTTATTTATTGAAAAATTCATGAGAATATTTTTTAAAATTTTCAATTTAATAACTTTCATATATTACTGATAATTAGCTTTCTCATGAATTTTTGCTTAATTACAGTTAAATTTTTCATTTTAATTTGCGTTTTTTTTTTCTTTTCTTTTCGAATTATTTATTAAAATTTCTGTTTGAATTTTTTTCAGATAAATTCATCAATTTGCTAAACAATTAATTATAGTTTAAAGAAGATAATATTACTTGCATCTTTATGATAATATTACATTTAGAAATGCAAGAAAAGAATGAATGATATGCTAATTTGATGACCCTATCCAGGTTGACCTTTGACCTTCCAGAATGAATATTATCCATCAATTTTCAGTGCTATCAATTGGATAGCGAAAAGTCTTCAGTTTACTTGCCAGATAATCCACAATATGCAATCGACCATTTTCATAAAGAATTTCCGACCAAATTGTCAATATTTCATCGGTTGATATCGCCGATAGATTGCGTCGTAATTGACCATTCTAATTAAGAAAAAATAAATAATTAAATTTTAATTATATTAGTAAATTAATTTCTTTTAAATAAAAGTAATAATTAGCATTGCATGATAACAAAAAAAAAAATTAATAATTATACATGTTTTTTATATGTATTTAAAAAAATAGTTTATTAAAAATTATAATTTATATTTAAATTTCATTTTGAAATTTAAATTTAAAAAAATTTTTTTTTTCATTTTAAATATTATAAATTGAATTATTATAAACAAAAATTCAAACTTGAAAAACTTGAAGAAGTGGTTGTCCTCTAACAATTGCAATTATTCGAGATTTATTATCAAATGTTATACCAAGCGAAAATGTTCCATTATTAGCGCTAATTTTTTCCACAATTTCACCATCCTAAATAAAAACAAAAAAAAGGAAAAAACAAAATTAATTATTAGAATGAATTTTATAATATTAAAAATAAAATGTTACTAACTTAAATTTGAAAAGAATTAAATTTTGAGAATAGAAACAAAAAAATTGAAATTGTAAAATAATTTATTGATTAAATTACTTTTAGTCATATAAATTGCACTGAAATCAGTCATAATATTTTAAAATTTTTCAGAAAAAAAAATTTGAAAATTTGGATTTTTTGAAACTAAAAAAAAAAAACTTTTTTTTTTTATAAATTTAAATTATAAATTACAATGGAAATAAATAAAGCAAAAAAATGAAAAAGTTTTTTTTTTTTTATCAAATTTTTTTTTCTTGTAAAATTACGATAATACTAGAAATATTTTCAAGTTATATTTATCAAAATTAAATTAATCTTTAAAAAAGAAAAAAATTTGAATAAATTAACCTCAGAAAGTTGTAAAATAGCACTTTGACAACTTATATAATAGTAATTTTGATACCAAATAGCAAAATTACATGTCTCTTTGGCATCATTTTTGTAATAGATCTCTTCGAATGGTTTTAAATCATTCGTAAAAACAAATAATACATCGTTACTTCGGCCAAGCGCAATTATCCGTTCTGAGCCGCTCTATAAGTTATTTTTTAATTATTAAAATTTTTAATTTGATAAAGCACTGTTTTCTGTTTTAAGCTAAGCTGTTGTTTAAAAAAAAAAAAAAAAAAGGAACATATTGAAATAAATGTTCAATTGACTTTAGCATTGATTTTCTTTTTTAAATTGATTAAAATAAATAAAATAAAAAAGCAATTATGAAAATTTTTATTGCAAATTGCTTAAAATATTTTCAAAACAATAAACAAAATTTAATTCAATTAAATTAAATAATTTTTAGATGCTTATTAAAATTTAGTCAAATAAAGTATATTTTAAGTGTTATAGCATTATTATCCTTCTTCAGCTTACTTTCTAAATTATCACTTATTTTTTATTTTTATTTTTTTATACTTTAACTTTTTTCAAACTTTCTTATTCATTCATTTATTTAAGAAATGAATTTTAACACTGTCAATTTCACTTTTTTCTTCTTTTTTTTTTGAAAGCTTTGTTTATTTTTTTTAAAAATATTTTGCATTAAAATTTTTAATTGGAATTTTTTATATTTCATTGAAATGAAATGTAAATTTTTCATCAATTAGACATAGTTTTTTTTTTAAAAAAGAAGAATTTTTGGTGCAGTTAATTTATTATTCATTTTATTATTTTTTTAATAAAAATGTTTGATTCAAATTTCCATTTTTCTTTTAAATGTTAATTTATCAAAATATAATTTTAATTTTGCTATATTGCTTATTTAAATTTATTAATTAAATAAAATTTATGTTAAAAGTAATCAAAAATGAAAATACCTCATCTTCAAATGTTGATAAACTTTTACCCGGTATAGGTAATTTCATTTGCCTGTATTTTTGCCCATTTCGAAATGATATTAAATAGGTACCATTTAAGATAATAATATCAGTATTATGTGTCACTGTCATTCGATTTATTTTACCATTAACATTGATAATTCCTACCTGAAAAAAAAAAAACAATTTTGTAATTTTTCGCTTTTTTTTTAAATTTATTTAAAAATTAAAATTTACTTAAATTTTTGCATTCTCTAATAGATAACAACAATTTAAAATATTGCTACTGCTACTTTTGCAGCAACAATTTCCTATCAAACTTTTGGAATAAATTAAAATTATTAACGTTAAAAAAAAATTTTTGACAAAAAATTATAATCATAAAAATTTTTAATATTATATTATAAAATTTAAAAAAAAATTGAAATTATAATTACAAAAAAAAAAAATTACAATTATAAAAATTTTATCATTTAATTTCTAGGTCAAATTTTAATTGCTTTAAAATAAAAATTCGAAATTTTAAATCACTAATTCATTGTTTCTAATAATATAATAAATTTTTTTTTCAACTATTTGGTTAATTGAAATAAAATGTATATTTAATATATTACTATGATTATTAAATCGTCCAAAAGTAAACTCATCGAAAAATAAATAAAAAAATAAAATTAAGAAGTAGAAATTTAATAAAAATATCGAAACAAATTTTAGTTTTATTTTCTCAAATAATTTAATAGAAATATAATTCAAAATTTCTTTACAATGTTAAATAAATAAACTTATAAGTTAAGATATTAAATTGACTTGTTTGTAGTATTTAAAAAGCAAAAGAAAAAAGTTTAAATAAATTAAAAATGGCAATCAAAATAATAAAAAAAAAAAGTTTCCGACTTTCTAACAATTGTCTAACATTATTTCGCACTTTAATATCTAATTAAAATCATTAACTTGAATCATTTAATTTAGTAACTTTCTAACTTTATTATATCCTTAATTAATTAAATTTCATTTGTTTAATTTATTTGTTTATCATTTCTATATGAAAATAGTATATTTAACTGATAATATCATATGTTTTCTGATAGAAAAATATTACCTAAAAATAAGCATTACTTAAAAATATTACCTAAAAATAAGCATTACTTAAAAATATCACCTAAAAATAAGCATTACTTAAAAATATTACTACATATCTATTCATACAATATTATATGAAATATTTTTTCTTTCATTATAATTTCTACAAATATTTTTACTTTTTTAATATATTTGAAATTTTTAACACTTTGCAAACATTTCAAAAATTTTCTCAGATATCAATGATATCATATCATATTAAATACTCTTTCACAATTAGCAAAATTTTTCAATTTAAATAGGAATGAAAAAAAAGAAAAAAAAGGCTGATAATACTAATCTTATACCATATCATATCATATCATATCATATCATACCGCTATCCTATCATGTCGTATCATTACAATACCATATCATTATCACATCATGCCATTATCATATCATATAATTATCATATCATTCCCATATTATACCTTATCATATCAGTATCATTTCATATCGTATCATTATCATTACCACATTATATCATAACATGTCACTATCATGCTATATTATAATCATATCATATCAGAGTTATGTCACATAGCTATCATATCATTATCATATCATATCATACCTGTCTGCTAGTTTCCGGATTTATCATCATAATTTGACCATCACTGGTAGCAACATAAAGAAGTGTACGTTGCATCGTCAATCCAACCACTTTAACATCATTTGAAAATGTTATTTCACGTAGTAATGTCATTTGTGTCACATTCATCTTATCTTGTTTACTTCTTGCTAATTTGTTATCATTTAGTGATAACTGTTCAATATGATTATGTAACATTAGCGTTGCTAAATTTTGTCGCGAATTTTTTGAAGCTAATTGATTTGTTGTTGATTTGATCGATGATTTATGATTATTTTTATCATTTCCTATTATAATATTAGTGCTTAAATTTACTGTGGTACGTCTCTGTGATGATTGTTGCTTCTTATTCCATTTCCAATTTTTCATTGGTATTATTGTTGATGATAAAAATGATTGATAAGAATGTTTATCATTTTCTAATTTAACCTTTAATATTTTAGCTGTATTAGGAATGATAATAAAATCAGTAGCATTAATAATTGTTGTAATAATAGTAGTAGTCGTAGTTGTTGTAGTAATAGTATCAGTAGTAGTTATAATTACTGATAACGTATCATTTTTTAAATTTGATAAAATTTTTTTATTCGGATGAAAATTAAAATTGTTAGCTATAGCGGTATTAAAATGAGTATTTTCACGATTAACCCAAGCTTTTGGGTAATGCGATTCATAGGTAATTTCAGTTGGTATTGTTACCAAAATAATAACTACAGTTAATGCAGCAGAAATAATTAAACAACAGATAATAATCATTGCGCTTATTGTGCCCATATTTCTAAAAATTTTTTAATTTTTACATTTAACCAGAAAAAAAAAACGATTTTTGGTATAATTATTTTATAATTAAATTATAATAAAAATTTTTTATATCCTTTAAATTTTATTTTGAAATAAAAAATGAGAAAAGAAAACTTATTAGCATATCAATGTGAGTACGATTGAAAAAAAATGCTAATATTAGAATTTTAATTATTTCTTAATGACTGAAAATAAATAATTAATCATAAATTTTGTTGATAAATTATCATTAACAGTGATAAAAATAAGAACAATAATCAATAAGAATAATTAGGAAGGATAAATTTTCAAAGATTTCAAAGAAATTGCATTCATTCTTGAGAGAATTGAATAAATGCTTATCAGAATGTAATCAGTAATTTGGGGTCAATGAGCGATTCTCATCAAAATTCTACGAAAATTTTAACATTTACCTAAATTTCTTATCTTTTATTATCAGTCTGTAGCTTATCCATATGCATAATACCGAGATTTATCACCAAAAATGAGTAAAATAAACAATAAATAAAGTTTGCGAATAATTTAATTTGTATTTAAATTTAAATATTAATCCATCTGTACATATAATTTCATTTATTTCTCAAAACTTTACAATTAAATGGAATTAAATTTTTATTTGCTTTTTTTTTGATTTTGATTTTGTTATTGATTATTTTTGCACATAAAAATACTATTTTTTTTTTTTAAAGTCTTATTCAATTTTATTTCAAAAAAAAAAAAAGTGAGCACAATTGAATTTATGAAAATTATAAATAAATTAATATAAAAATTTATAAATAAGTGTCAAAATTGACTTATTTCAAATTATCATTAATAGAAATCAATGTTATCATATTGTAAAAAAAGAATAAAAATAAAACGATTAAAATTGAAATATTATTTAAAAAGTTAAATGATTGTTACAAAAGTAAATGGTTTAAAATGTCGCAACGAAATTGTCAACCATTATATCGTTTTCTGTTAGGTTGACACAAAAAAAAAAAAAAATTGGAACGAATTGGATTAAAGAGAACATTGGATTTAAATTTTAACGACACATTGAACAACAAAATAATACAGTTAGTATGAGTTGCTTTCAAATTTTAGTGAAAAAAAAAAAAAAATTAAATTAGGACAAGAAGTGACAAATTGAAAAATTTTTTCTAAAAGTTCAGTTCATTAGTGATAGAAACTAATACCATTGATAAACATATCATTTAAATTAATTTTTAATCGTTTTTAATTTCAACCACCAATCATTGATTTCAACTTTTACAAAAGTTTACTGAAAACAACAACAACAACAACAATAGCAATAGCTGTAGCAATGATAACAACAATGATAATATCAATGAAATGATAATTATAAAATAAAATTTATTCAGCAAAATAATTATGAATGTGTTTTTTTTTTTTTTTAATTATTAATTAATTAATTTTTATTGCTTATTTATTGATTGACTAATTTAATATCAATGATTGATAGTTTAATAATTATCATTAATTTATCATTTAGATCATTAAAAAAGTTGTTTATATTTATTTCATCTTTTATAGTTATTTATTTATTAAATTTATTACAAATTGGATAATGTGCAAATTCAAAAAAAAAAAAAAAATTAATGCATTTTTTGTCAAAGTTAACCAAATTTGCGCAATTTGCGCAATGAAATTTAAAGTAATTTAAATTTGTTGAATTTTTTTTTTTTGCAACAAAATTCTTTACAATTAATTTTGAAATGGAAGAAAAATGCATTAATTTTTTTTTTTTTTGATTTAAATTTTATGCCATAATTTTAAAAGGTTTCTACTAATAGTATTACCTAAATTGTGCAAAAAAAAAAAAAAAAGATAAATTCGATTAGATAAAGAACATAATACTTTTATTATTACTGATTTAGATCAAATCGAAGAGATAATTTGCATAGATAATTTCTTTTTCTTTTTTCTTTTCTTGGATAACCATTACTTAATTATTAATTACTGATCTATTAATAATTAATAGATTTAATAATTAATGAAACTATCAGTAATTAATCAAACATAAAGGACAGTTATGATAAGAAATTTAAAATTATTGAAATTTCAATATTTGCACTAATGTTTATTTGATATTCTAACAAATTTCATGAAATTTAAAATTATTAAAAATTTAAATATCTTTTTTAATGTTCATTTTGTATTTGAATACCTGTCGCTATTTCATTAATTCTATGATAAATAATATGTATTTGAGTAATACTTAATGTACGTATTTGACGCATTTTGACGTAAAACACGCATATAAACATATTACATTTTAATATATATAATTCAAATAATGCTAATTAGCTTAATTATTGATAATGAATTGAATAATACAATGAGTAAACGGAATTAAAGAAATACACTGATAGATGACGAAACTGAAATCACAGTTATGCTATCAAAATTACCGATCTCACTTCAAAACACAGACAAACAATCATTAGATAATAATCAGTTTTCTTATCATCTAACTGATAACAATCGCTTATAATATTACACCAAATAAAATTAGCATAAAACTTTTTTTCTAATTCCAAATTTACAATATCAATTTATTATATTACAAAAAAAAAAAAAGAATTAACATAAATTTATTTTATAAAAAAAATTTCAATTTATAAGTATTACAACATAAACTACAAAATCAAGAATGACATAACTTAATTTTAATTAATATAACTTAACTTAATAGAATTGAAATTGTGTAATACTATAATGTTTAATTTATCATTATTATATTATATTTGATTGGATATTTACAATGGAAATCAATATTGATCGATGTCTAATTAGGAACTTTCTAAACTTTCTTATCGTATATTTCAGAATAAACATTGATATTTTTGGTACATTTCATCAAATTATCATTCATTATTATATTTCACGTCAAAAAAAAAAAAAAAAAAAAATAAAAGTAAAAGTAATTCAATTTGATTTAAAAATTTTAATAATCAAAAGAAAAAATTTTGCTTTTTCTTCAATAAATCATTATCAATGTTCTGATAAAATTTATTAAAATATGATGGCAAAATTTTCAAAACTATTCACCAATCAGTAATTTGTTTAAATCTTTTTAAAATCTTAATATGATGCTTGTCATTTGTTTGTTCATTAAAATTACTATCGTCCATTGAGAATTAAATAAAATAGAAATAGAGCAAAACTTGCGTCATTATTATGACTGAGAAAGGTCCCGGGGAGATTTGAACTCCCGTCGCAGGATTCAAAGTCCTGAGTGCTAACCACTACACCACGGGACCCACAGTTGAAATGAAAATTTGATTTCTCAAATTAATGAAATTGTTGAAAATTACAAATTAAAATTAATTTTAAATCATTTTAAAACACTAAAAAAAAACGAAAAGAAAGTTTACATTCAAAATTAAAAGAGAAAAAAACGAAAAGAAAATTTACATTCATTAAAACTATTACCAAGAATTCTCGTTTACAATAAAGTTACAATTATGGTTTTTCACATTTCAAAAAATACATTTTTTTTTTTTTTTTGAGAGAGATAGAGAGAGAGTTTTCCCTCTTTTCCCTCGTTGAAAAAAGCTAAAAAACTTTGAGTGTGTGATTATTAGAAAATACTTTTTATATCACAACAAATCATATTGTAATTTCACTATTAGTAGGAAAGCTAACAACAATTTTTGTTTGCATTAAATTAAAATATTGTAATCATTTTGAATTAATATTACCTTGATTCATCTGAATTAGGTAAGTAACAATTTCGTGTACGATTACAGTAGTTACACGTCTGATACGTTTGAATTGACTTGTTTATACTAAAAATTCATCATAAATTGATGCTAATAAAATTAAATCAGACAAAATTCATTTTGCATTAAGATAAAGAAAATTTCAATTTAAATATTGTTATTTTTATTGTCACTTAAAAAATTTTCTAAATTCAAAATTTGTTTTTTTAAATTTAAATTTTAAATTGATGAAGATCAAATCTAATAAAGAAGTTTTTGTTTTTGTTTTTTTTTTTTTGTCAGCAAAAGAATTATTGGTATATTTTACAAGCAATAATTTAATTTACAATTGTTGTTAACGTTGAAACGTTAGCATTAAATAAAATATCAAAATTTGAGTGTAAAAAAATTGAATAAAATTATTTTCAAACAAAAAAAGCACTTATAGCTTACAAATGGAACATAAATAATAAATGAATTAAAATTGGAAATAATTACAATTAAAAAATTAACATAAAATTATCTCAATTAGGCAATATTAGGAAAGCTGTGGCCAATTTATTAATTGATAAAATAAAAAAAAAATAATTTTTTTAAATTTTAAAATTAAATTTGTTAATTAATAAAATAAAAAAATAACAAAGACAATTGTTAATTTTAGAATCAAATTTATAAATTAATAAAATGAAATAATAATGATGACAATAATAATAATAATAATAATAATAATAATAATAATAACAATAATAATAATAATAATAATAATAATAATAATAATAATAATAATAATAATAATAATAATAATAATAATAATAATAATAATAATAGTAATAATAACAATAATAGTAATAATAATAATAGTAATAACAATAATAATAATAATAATAATAATAATAATAATAATAATAATAATAATAATAATAATAATAATAATAATAATAATAATAATAATAATAATAATAATAATAATAATAATAATAATAATAATAATAATAATAATAATAATAATGATAATAATAATAATAATAATAATAATAATAATAATAATAATAATAATAATAATAATAATAATAATAATAATAATAATAATAATAATAATAATAATAATAATAATAATAATAATAATAATAATAATAATAATAGTAATAATAATAATAGTAATAATAATAATAATAACAATAATAATAATAATAATAATAATAATAATAATAATAATAATAATAATAATAATAATAATAATAATAATAATAATAATAATAATAATAATAATAATAATAATAATAATAATAATAATAATAATAATAATAATAATAATAATAATAATAATAATAATAATGATCATTGTACTCAAATTTATTAATTGATTGAAAAAAATAAAAATTGTTAATTTTTTTTTTAAATTTTAAAATCAAATTTGTTAATTAATAAAATAAAAAAACAACAAAGATAATTTTTATATCCCTTTCTATACCAAAAGTTAGAATATATTTGATGCAAAAAGATCAATCAAAAATTATTCCAATGATCAATCAAACAAATCATTGCATTATTTTAGTTATACTATCACTAAATTATTTCTTAATTTTATTTATTTAATAATTTATGTAATTTGCAATTAATCTTATTCTCAAATTCTTAATTCTTTAAAATTTCTCAAATTTTTGTAACATTTTGAATTTTATTATTGCAAAATAAAATGAAAAAATTTTACCATTTTAATCTTTTCAAAATTTTGAAAAAATTAAACATTTAATTTTTGTATAAATTATTATCAGGAAGTTTTTGCTATATAATTTGTTCAGTTTTCAGCTATAGCATTAAATTTGAATAAATCATTAATGCTAATTGCAGAATTTAATAATAATAAAGAAATTTATGAAGCGAAATGAAGAAAGAATTAATTAATGATAATTAAATAATTAATTAATTAATGATAAGTTTGAAGGATCACTTTCACATTCGTTTAATTTCTTAGTCAAATTCTAAAGTCTTTATCATTTTTTGCATCGTTAACATATTATAGAAATGTAATTTAACCTTTTTCAATTTCACAATTAATTATTTGAATTAAAAATTTTGAAATTCCATAAATTTTTCAGTAAAATTAGATGCCAATATAATATAACAAAGTAATATTTAGCAACAAACAAACATTTATTGGAGCAAATAATCAGTGCTATTAGTGTAAAAAGTATATTGTATATTCATAAAAATAATAGTTGAATTCAAATAATTTTATTAATTTGATTCACTTTTAATTTCTCCTATTATTATTATTATTATTATTATTATTATTATTATTATTATTATTACTATTATTATAGTATTATATATTACTAATTAATTCAATTTCTTTTAGCATAGTTTTATCATCTATTTGACTCATTTCGATATTTCATTTTTATAAGTACAAATCCGCTAAAACAGTTATCTACAATTTAAAAATCCTATCAAATAAATGATAATTTTTGAAAAGATTTAATTTCTCTCTAACGTATTTCTATCATACTCGATAATCGTTAACAACTCGACTTCACATTTAATTTAAAACAAAAATACTGAAATTGTTTGAACAAGCAAAAATGATCATTACTGATATGCAAATATATACAGATTAAATCTTCAATCGTTTTAAAAAGAAATCACTTTTGTTAAATTAATAAAGACTACAAAAAGTTACATTAATCTAATTATCATAATTATCATCCTTTATTTATTCATACTTCTCTTCTTTCTTCAATGCAATGTTGCTTTTGTATTATGTCGATGAAACATAATTACCACCAACGTTATATTTTCAAAACAACGCAAAAATAATTGGAAGGAAGGCATACAATATAAAACTAACAATATTTCAGCTAAAATTTCTTAGCAAATATTGAATATTTGTTCATAACATATAACCCGAATGTATAAAAAAAAAAGAAGAAAAAATAGCCTAAATAAAATATCTCTCTAATGATAATTTCCCCTCCTCTCAATTTCTAGATAGCATAATTACTGATATTATAATATTATAGTTATGGTCAGTATGTCAAAAGATATGGTATGTCAAAATTACTAACCTAACCCATATATAATAGTAGTACCCGAAAATATTAGTACCGATGAATATTTGAGAAAAAAAAATTTTATTTTTTTTTAAAAGATGAATTATGTATGCTTCAATATAACCCGTATATTTATCCGAAAAAAAAATTCCAAATATAGAGGAGAGATTTCAAATGAAAATTTATCAAATTCCCTCAAAAATCTTTTTTTTTTTTTTTTGAAGTCTATTTAACATTTTTCTACAACAACAATCCATTATGATTTAATTACTAACATATTCACTTCTCATATAACTTGCGTTGTATTGAAAAAAAAAAAAAAAGTTGAAAAAATTCGATTCCATTACTGTCAATTAACTATTTAGTAACAAATTTCTTAAAATTTTACGTATTTTGAGACTTAAATAATCCAAACGATGTGCATTTGAAATTGTTTGAAAATTTGACATTTTGAGATATAATATCAAAATGATGCAATGTAAGACGTGGTGGTATTTCTACAATTTTTTTTTTAACATCTACTTCACATTATTGATTTACTGAAGACCAGAATCAGCTGGTGAAGGTACTAGTATGGTGTTAGTAGTTGTGGTACCATCAGAAATTTGCTGATGCTCCTGGCAACAAACGCATCCTTCTCCCGGTGTCATAGGCTTGTCATCATCCGACTTAAAGGTCAGATCAGGTCCATATGTAAGAAGCAAATCTAAGACAACACCATTAGTCCATCCAAACCCTTCTTGCACTTCATATTCGCCACCACCTCCAGCCGTATTATAGTTTTGCGATGCAACATTGTACTGAAAATTCAACATATTCCCATAGAGTCAAAAAGCTTAATTTACATATATATATATATATATATGATTTTTCCATGCACAAATTTTAAAAATGCTAACTTTTTCAAACATTCGTCCACCAGAAACAAGCCACATGCTGTAATTTCGCTTGATCCACTTCTCGGCTATTTGACGAGCTAGTTCATGCTGACCAGTAGAACGCAAACCCTGAATAACAACCCAAGTTGTTGGTGCCCAAGCGTTCGGGAAATCCCATTGTTGTCCGGATGCTATAAGTGAACTTGGTAAACCACCAGGGAATGCCAAAACGCCCATGTTCGTCATGTATGTTACTATCTTCTGTGCATCGAAATCTGAAAACGAAATAAGATTTCCACAAAATTCTTATCACATTTATTTTCTTTTACCCATAAACTTTCTAATTAGTACAACTTAGATCAGACTGCTTTTGTATTTGCAAAAAAAAAATAGATTTGAAAGCTATATATCGCATCGTATTTTCATATATTTTAGTTAATATTCCTATAATTTCGAAAACTCCATAAAAATGTATTAAGCACTATCGATAAAAGAACATTTTCATATCAATTTTTGCAATTAAATTTTCAGCGCATTCTACACCAGTGCTTAGTATATTTTTCACTTAATGAAATCTGACATTAATTTTTTTTTTCTCAACAAAATTGAAATGATCGTACCATCATGCGTA